TGAGTCACATGTTTAAGATATTAAAACACCCTCAGCACTTCTGTGCAAAAATGAGATAAAGTTTACAATACGAGCAATTGAGAGGAATTTATGCTTCGCCTTTTGTGTACTGGATATAAAACAAGATCATTATCTAAACCAATGTGACAGATTTACTACCATTGAAACACCAGCAGACACTGCAGTAAATACTTCATGTACTGTAAGGACACAGCCTATTAAGCCAATCAGCTGGGGTCGTAGAGCATCAGACATACAGCCCTGTTTCTATACAGCTCTATGCTTAGCCTTCATAATCAGCCATAAAACATTTGATCGCAGCTCCGAGCTCAGCCGATGCATACGTTCTAAATTATGAGTGTATATACTGCTGGGTGCTGATGTCAGGGTTACATCAATCCCTCAGTGGAGCATCAGCTATAAAATACTGTCTTTAACTAACATGTGTCGAAGTATTTCTAAAGACGTGACAAAAACTAGAAGCTAATACTGAAACTAGAGTGGGCGTTTGGGGTGTTTAACTGCAACCATAACTTCAAATGTGCATATTAAACACATTGATGAGGTTTAGTAGGTAATCCAGTTATAATGTTAGGTGTACTTATATCCTAAAGATATAGTATGTTGATAAAATCAAGCTTGAGAATGTTTCTTTTTTACAAAACCTTCCAAGTTTATTCGTTCTGATAATCAGGCTTCATTCTTCAGTCCACTCTGCAATGTGTCGCTCTGTGTAGCAACAGCGTGCAAAGACATCAGCCTCAGTGCTGAATGACCTCTTACAGTAAACCACTTTCCCGCTAAAAACCCGGGTTTTTGGCTCTTTTCCCATTGGACAGAAAAGTCGAGTCTGACCCCCTGCTGGAAAGCTTCATGGCCACTGTCCCCTGCGTGTCTGACAACGGCATCATGCTAGGTGTGCGAGCATTGATGATGTTGACAGTACAACAAAACTCAGGGAAGTAAATAATGGAGAGCAATGTGTAAGGAAGCCAGGGTGTAATAAAGTATGCTTTATTTCACTCTTTTATGTGTCTGAATCTCTCTTACCGGAGCTGCGCCATGTTTATCGAATTTAAACAAGGTTGTTTTGGTATGTTATCAGAAGCGACTAGCGCAGTGTGTAGACGTCCCTACGTTGCTTTCAGTGGTGTCAAGTATTTTAGCAGGTGAACCCGGCTCTGGTTTTCCCATAGCATGCTGATCAGAGCGGAGGTGATTTTAACTTTGTTCGCTTGCAGAGTCGTTTGACTCGGGTAGACAGGCGTCAGAGAGGTGTTCCCACTGCCACTAAAAGCCAATTGTAATTAAACATTTTTTTTTTTTATAATTTTAATGTTTGGTTTGATTATTATACCTCGAAAAGTTTTTCTATCTTTATTTTTTTTAAGCATGTTTTTTCATATATATTGTATTTTTTAGGTAGTTTTACATTTTTCCTTTTCAGACGTCTCTTCGCTTTAAGGTCAATGCGCACATTGACTAATAAATATGTTGTTGCTAACGTCCATGCAGACAAATAGAGATGTGTCACCCCATACAGACTTGAGGTCTAATGTATCAGATGAATCCATAACCGACTAAGAAGTCACGACCTGCTGACAGCAGTCTAGCAGGATAGAAATGTAATTTGACATTATCCACCAAATTATCCACCAAATTATTAGGCAGGGATGCCTTAAGTTTCAATAAATGACAGCTTACTCACATGTTTAGATATTATTGTGTATGATGTTGATATTTAAATTGAGCTTTATGAACTTTGTTTTTATTAAAATTCCTCTATGTGTTCAGATGGAGTTTTTTTTCTCATCATTTCAGTTTTTCATGCCATGGTTATGAGGACAATTAAACACTGTAAACAAACTCCAAGGTCATTATTTTGTGGTTTAGCTCAGTTTTACCATCATCCTTACTAAAGAAAAACTGTACTCACAATTTAGCCCATTTTGGAATAATGAAATTGATAAACCTCTGTGACCCTTTCAAAGCTATGGATAGGTTTCATAAATAAACCCTCCTTTGAGGAATTTCTATGTTCTGAACTTTTTCACCGAAGTTGAAAAAGTCACACGGAAAGAAAAGACAATTAGAAGAATTTGTTGATAAAATTACTTTAGACTTTGGTGCTCAGACCTCAGCAGGAAACCTTGGCGCTGAATTTTATTTTGATATGCATGAACAGGGATGTTCCCCCACCAAGCCTGAAATTTGGGGTGTAGTGGAGATAGATGACGTTGGCCAGTCTGTAGACTGCTGGTTAGCGAGATGGTCTGCTGAGCTTTATGGGGAGATCCAGTGGACTGTGTGAGCTGACACTAGTGCTTCACTCAGGGACCTGGAAGATGGAAGTCCGGATAACACAAGTTGAGAGAACCTGTCCATGATGAGCAAGCATAAAGCGACAGTGGAGAGGAAAAACTCCCCATTGGGAAGAAACCTCTGGCTGAACCAGGCTCAACATGGTGGTCTTCTGCCGGACCGGTTGAGATGAGACGCAGAATGCAGTAAAAGTCAGGGAGGAATGAAACTCTGTTAAAGCTTTAGCTATGATGGTGGAGGAGGGGCTAGAGGTGGGTTGAAACGGGGTCATCTGAATCGAAGTCAGACATTGTGCAACCACTGTCTGCACTCTGGGTAGCAGATAAAGTTGTGGATTTGGAGACCTTTAAAGATGAACTCTGGATGCTGATTAGCTTTCTCAGAGGTCTGGTTAAAAGCTGATTGGCCAGTGTCGGAGGCAGACCAGGGTAAGTAATCAGTTTGTTCAGTTGACTTATACTAAACTCTGAAAATTAAGTCAACTTTTTGCATGAAGGTCACATTATAATCTGAGTTTCCACTACACTTTTTTCATTTTCTCTCATTTTAACTGACAGCGTCACAACCTAATTTATTAATATTATATAAAAAAAAACATTCAAAACACTTTTTAAAATTAATTTAAATAATTTTCAGTCCAAACAAGCTGAACAGAGGATCCACATCAACCTAAATACTTCTACCTTTTTTGTCACTGTGGTTCCAGTAAAAACATAATGAAATCAAAAGACATAAAAAAAATAAAATAAATCCTATGTGGCTTAAGGTAGACTCTCAGAGTTTCCTCCTGCCCTGCATGGATCTGAATTACACACCTGGTTGTGCTATTATTTAATACTGTGAAATATTTGTTCCAATATTTAAAAACACTTTAAAAAAGAAAAAAAAAACAGAATCTAAAAACATTCTGAAAATTACAATTGTATATTTTGTTTTCTTCCAGAATTGAAAAAAAAATTATAACATTTGGTCATACTATAAATTACTCTCAAAGCCCTTTTTGAGTTGAGAGATGTTTTTTTTATTTTTAAAATAATTTATTTATTTATTTCCTTTTCTGAGATGTGTTATTTGCTTTCAGGAAAATTGGAAAAAATGTCTCCCTATATAAGAACAAGAATTTAGGAGACAAAGCAATAAAACTAAACCAGGTATATCTAAATGGCGCCTTTCTGAGAGAGCCTTTTGTAAAATAGAGACTCAGAGCTAACCGAGACACGGCTGTATAAATTGAAAGTGGCATACTAAATGTGATTCAATGTTTTAAGAGGATCAGTCTCAGATACCAATTACATTACCTCTAAAACAAAGGGGTAGAGCTGAAGGACAGAATGGAGAAAGACACTATGGCGGGTTGAGTCATAGACGCTTTCACTCAAAGAGAAATAATTTATTTCATTGTGATATTAAAATCAATAGGCATCGATTGAAAGGTTGGCTAAAGGTGAGAGTGAACATGATCCTTCAGCTGCGAGAGCCAGAGACCCTGAAAGACGGGGCTAAGACACGAAAAGGAAAGACAGAACGCAAGGAAGGAGGAAAAAACGTCTCCGTCTAGTTAACAAAGAGAGAGCGGGAAAATGATAAAGGAAAACAGAAGAAAGGGAAGACAGAGTGAAAGAGAAAGAGCGAGGGAGCTCCTGCCCAGTGGAATCAATACAGAGAGGTGGAGCGGAGTACAATAGCCTCAGAGGAGGGGAGATTCACTGGTGCAAGTCTAATTCTCTCTCTCATGCACCCACTCAGCCATGCTCATACACATACATTAACACCAGCAGCCTCTCTGAATCCCGTTTGTTTTTGCCATCTCCTGACATTTCTCTCTGTATCGTTCTCCAATATAATTTCTGTCTCTCAGTCTCTCACTGCCGTGCTCACTCTGCATCCACCCTTCGCCTCTACCCACACACACAAACATGCACCATACCTTTCTATCTTTGCAAGGACTTTGCTTCAACGCGCATTCATTTTCCATTCATCCTTATGGCCTAACCTTAAACTCTATGTAATCCGTAATCCTACACCTAACTCCTCACCCTTCTCATTCCGCTGCACACCGGGATGAGAGGCCTTCTCTCATATATAGCTTTAAAAACATGCTGCACACACATAAACACATGAAAAATACAAACAAGTGGAAAAAATCAGAAAGCAAATAGTATTTGCTTCTGATAACTCTTTGATTATGGAAACCCAAAGATTCTTCGACTGCAATAAAGACAGTGGCTCAAACACACCTTCCCACCCACACATACACTCCAACGACTACCCCGCTCTATCAGCACTCGAGACAAGTGAGGGTTCAATTAGTTCTTGATGAATGAGCCCATAAGATGCTGCTCTCTCATTTCCCTTGTTGCCAGATATCCCAGCAATCAGAGAGAAATGAATTGTCACTGTGGCGTGACTGAAACGAAGATGATGGAGGTAAGGTGGTGGTGCAGCTTGGGTTTGCCGGAGGAGCTTAGATAAATCATTCACACTCTTCACTCTAGGTCAAAGGTGACAACATGCCTGTTTTTTTCTTTTTCTTTTTACAGCAATGCTGTGTCCATTTATATAAACGAACCCGAAAGTTGACAACGAAAGTAAAAAAAAAAAAAACACAAAAATAACTAATATTGTTTAATATCTGCGTTTTCCATTTAACAGCTCTATTACGATGATGTCAAACTCACCGTCATCGATGATGGTGACGACCACCCCATTCCCAGTGATGTTGTTCTTCCAAACTGGCATCAGGTTGAGGTCAAACCCGCTGAGGTTGTATTCACCCTGCGCAAACTGAACAGGAACAAACACACAATTTTACTTAGACTCTGAAACCTTTATTCATTCACCGTTTACATGCATTAGTATGGAGGGAATTTTGATTCATCAATTAATGCAAGCAAGGAACTTGTTAAATGAAAAATGTGTGAGAAAAAACAGTTTGTAAAATGAAATTTGGAAAAAAAAATGCAATCCAGAAATAAATCTATTATTGTTTTGTCAGATTTCTTTTAAAATCTACTTTTCAGATATTAAAATTTTACCTCCAGCAAAGGGGTTTTCCTCTGCTATGTTTAGTCTGTCTTTTTTTTTATAACAAAGAAAAGTTATGGATGGATTTTGCTGAAATTTTAGAGAATTCTGTGAATACAAGGTGGAAGGCACAATATGTCAAGAGAAATGAGCTACTTAGCAAAGGTTTGCAATCTCCAAGTAATTTTCTAGTTTTTCTATTTTTTTATGTGTTCAAAGTTTGTATTTCAATTTGTATTATTTCAAGAAAAAACAAATTTCACATTTTTTATTTTATTCTTACCAATGTTATATATTTTTTGTTGAAACTGTTGTTTTAAACAGTTTCTGGCTTTATTAACACCTAAAATCTTTAGTTTTAGAGAGGCTTGTATTTTTGATTTTTTTCATGTGGGCTTGTTTTTCAAATCAGAAATGCCCCCATGTCCACTCTTATTGTCCACGGAATGTGATTTTGGTCCTCCTCCTGTATTGACATCAGTCCTGGAAGGATGCTAAAATTAGTCCACCTTGCTATCAACACCCATGTCTCTGTTTTACAAAAAGGGGCAGCTCACCTGCAGGCAGTCAGCAAGAGCTCCTGAAGTAGAAATTTGCACCTGTTGACAGGTACTTTAATGTGTCTGGGACATTTGTTCTTATTTTAGAATTAAAAAAAACAACAACTCAAAATCAATATTTTGTTTTACAAAATTATAATTTATTATGTTTTAATTTACTATTGCTTGAAATTTTAATTACTAGTATGAATTTATCTGTTTCTTTAATTTTAAGAGTATAAAATTGCCTTACAAATTTAATATCAACATAGCTTGCCATACACTTATGCTCTTACTTTTTTCCTTTTTTCAGATGGTCACATTTCTGTTTCTCTACCATGTAGCTAGAAACAATAACAGACTGTTATCGCAACAGCATTGCTTTAGAAATTTGTTGATGGTTTAGGTGACATTAGGGTTAGTAGACAGCAGAATGGTGAAGAGAGTCCAAAACACCCCCTCCTCGAGTCACAATACATGATGGGTCACAGGGTATGCTGTTACACCGGACGTTTGATAAACTAAAAAAAACACGTCAGGATGATTTGTTAGGTGACGTCTCGTTTTGAAAGGCAAAGACACTAAGCCATAGCCTAATTTTCACCAGACATGGCCATTAGGCGAGCCCTATCACTACCCGATCCGTCACAGAAGCACAATCTGTCCTCCACATGCGCGAACAGATATACATCCGATTGTCCATAAATAATGTAATTATGGTACTAAAATTACTAATTTCTATCCTTAACTCTCTAAATAACGCTTTTAAACATCTTTAAAAATGTTTTATGACTTTTGTGAGACATTTTTAATGCTTTTTTACATTTTCTACCTTAAACTGCTTCTCTGACGCTATCATCAGACATTCTCAGAGCAGTCCAGCAAAATATGATTAAACCATCTTTATCTGCATTTTAGATGTTTCTTTCTTTAGATTAGGAACTATATACAATAATGTTAAGACAAAAGATCAGATAGAAACGAGTGATAAAACAGAAAGGATTTTAAGGCATTTATTTCCTCAGGAAATACATTATTAACCTTTAACACATTATATTTTAGTAGACTTACGATTTTTGGGGTGGTAAAAACGGCATTTAGGTCTTTTTAACAAAATAAAATTGAGGTATGTATATCTGGATGTACATGCAGGACGGATCGTGCTTCCGGGACGGATTGGGTAGTGACAAGCGCTACAACATTGGTCCCAAGCTGCAGCCATACGTGTCTCCAATCGTCTGCCCACAAAATCTAACAGTCTGAGGACAGTGCACAAATCGAATCCAAACAGCAGTGAGTCTGGTTCATGTATACGTGTTCAAATGGGTTAAAAACAACTAAAGAAAAGGATTAAGGATGTCACAGTTTTGGTTCTGTCTAAGTTTTATCTTTTTCATTGGTTTTATTTTAATTTTGTGTTATTCTGGTCAAGATCCTTTCAGGCAGTTTGATTGCATCCATGAACTCCCTCTTTCAGTACATGTCATTTAATACATAAATAACTCAGTTGAAATATATATATATATATATATATATATATATATATATATATATATATATATATATATATATATATATATATATATCTACTAAAGAATCCTTTGTTTATATAAGGGATGGCGTATGCACCTTCAGCTAAATATGGTTTCAAGGCGCCATAAGGAACTTAGTAAGTTCACGGACAACTCACTGAGACAGATTTCCCCTCCTCACCTCAAACCACAAATCCACCCACACAGGGAAATCTGTGCATTACAACACAGAAAGAAAAAAAAAACACCACCATGGTGAGGCAAAACACCCATCACAGCAGCAGCTCCCCAGAGCCTGACTAGCCCAACAAACTACATACATTCACTTGATCAGATAATACATCTTTAATGTTGCATCCCAATGCAAACATGCAGCTCGCTCACAGGCATAGGAGAAAAAAAAAAAAAAACACTTAAAGGCAGCGTGTAAAGGCCGCGCTCGCACAATCTAACTAGAAATGTCAACGCAATCCCAAAACCTGCTCACCCACACAGAAAAACACTCACACAGACAAACGCAGCCAATTTGATATTCAAAGTGAGTCTTTTAACTGTTGCTATGATTAAGAGAATAAGAAAGGAAGAAAAGGCACAATGGAGAAAAAAACAACAATAAAAAAACCCCGTCTCAGTTGGGGGATTGTGTTTAATGTGCGTGAGTGTGTATTTGTTTGTGCGTTTGGTTGGTAGCATCTGGGGAGCTGCAATGCTTCTTAGTGTGAACGAATAAAGCAGATGAATGGAGGCTGCTAGCAGACTAACGTCCACCGGAACACTGAGACCGGCTCTAGGGGAGACGCACTCAAACACACTCATCCTAATGTATGCACACATAAAGGCATACTTAGAAATAAGCCTATAGAGAAGCATCATGAATGATAATTCACTTCATACACATGCAGGTATGCTGTGCTGGAGCAACGACTTACAATAAAACTAAAGTACGTACAATCTACCAGTTCCAGCTTTCTCTTTGGTATGTAAGCACTTTTCCACAAATATGAAAAAAAAATTGAACTTTAATAGTGACATACCATTCTTTATACTCAGTAGTGGTGGGTCCAGCAACACCAATGCTGTGCATGCATGGAGCCCATAGAGCAAAACACTTTATCGGTGTTTGTGGTTCGTTTCAAGAAAGTCATGTGACAGATACAGGTGTTGTTTCTAACTGACTGACTCATTAAACTGTGTTTCTGTCAACATGATGAATCTGCTAAAAAAAAAAAAACTTCTCATCTTTTGCTGTTTATCATTAAAATGATCAAGAATTTTGGAGCAGCCTAAAAGGAATAGGAACGTTTCAGCCGTTGCTTTTTAATTTTCTGTTTTTTTCGTACTTTTCCTCTCAGTTATCTCATTAAACTTATCTGAATTTAGTTTATTTCCTGTTTTTTCTGTACTTATTGTTTTAAAAAAATATATTTGAAATCCTGGTCCACAACATCCTCATTCTCATTTTCCCTTAAATTTTCACGTCATGATAGTTGTTCACATTATTTTATGGCTGCATCTTTATTTTGAATATATTTTGAATTTAAACATAGATATAAAATAATACAATATAACCTTGAATATCTTAAATTAAATCATTGTGCTAGGTCATCAAATCAATTCAGTTTAGTCTGTCAAATTAGCTGCCTGTAGTGTCTTTAAATATCCAGCAGGTGTCAGTATTCCGTAAGACAGTATCAACGCAGTTTTGATACAGTTTGGCAAAGTGTCGAAACGCTTCAAGATGCCTCATTAACCCATCACTAGGGCTACATTCACACCGCACCCTGAAGTGACCCAAATCCGATTTTTTTGCCCATATGCCACCTGGATCTGATCTTTTCATGACAGTCTGAACAACACAGATCCGATCTTTTCCAATCAAACCCAGGGCACTTGGCTCTGTGGTCCTGAATTCGATATGAATCTATCTGATCTTTTCAAATGCGACCTGTGTGTGAACGGCCAGGTCATATTCATCTAATCTGAACGCCATTAATTCCCGACAAAGGTCACTATTATGCGTCTTGCTGCGCAGAAGCGGCAAGAAAAACAACAACCATGGCGGATGATGGTGCAGAGAGTAGTATTTATGTTTAACCATATTGAAAAGACTGTTTTTATGGTTGAAAAAGATCGCTAGATGCGCGCTGGCACTACCATCCATATTTACTTCTGTAAACACAGAGCATGCTGGCCTGTGACGTTATCGCGTCCTCTACTGCGCATGCAGGACACTTGCCTTGTATGACTGTAGTTCCCACAGGAGATCACATACAAGTCACATATATTTGGAAATAAGAACGGCAACGCGAAAAAATCGGATTTCACAATAAAAATCGGAATTGAGCATCAAGGCCTGCAGTGTGAAGGTAGCCTAATACTCAGGCTTTCTAAGGGAGGTGGCTCACTTTCATGAGGAAAAGAAGTAGAGGAGTCAAATGCAAAATAATTCAGGTTTTAGGAGTCCGTTAAAATAGTCTGAGGACAGTGCACAAATCGAATCCAAACAGCAGTGAGTCTGGTTCATGTATACGTGTTCATATGGGTAAAAACAACTAAAGGAAAGGATTAATGATGTCACAGTTTTGGTTCTGTCTAAGTTTTATCTTTTTCATTGGTTTTATTTCCATTTTGTGTTATTCTGGTTATTTTTGATTTTATTTGAGTTCTTAGATATTTCTTGGTTGCCCTC